ATGAGGCTGTTCTGCCCTTATCTGCCATGGTTCAGAGACATTTCCTAATCATTAGCCAGCCTTTAATCATGCCCCTCACTCAGTTTTTCCGCTGCTCCAGCCCTGCCTTTCTCATGGGACAGGCAGCACAAAACAATTGCTTCACTCTGCTGAATTGTTAAGCTAAAAGATCAGCAGGGAAAAAAAAATCCATAGGGCATCAGCAATTCCTCACTGTATGTGCTCATGCGGGTCCCTCAGCAACCAGCACCATCGGAGCAGACTCCGTTAGCCGGCCGCATCCGTTCCGCACGCACTGAGCAGGAGCGCGGCCGGAGGGTCACCGCGGAGCTGGAGGAGCGGAACCTTTGCGGTTTCCCAACAAGGAGGCAGGTTGGGACTCTCATCCGTCATGGATAACCTTATTTTCAGTCATGCTTAGCACCTGCAGCACCAACCAATGCTGATGAAAGCAATGAGTGCACGTCTGAAGAAAAACAGAGGGGGTGCAGCAAAAAAAAAAAAATTCCCTTTCTTTGTACCAAATACAAGTTACCAGATAACATTTTTTTACTGGTTCACTCCCAGACCTGCTCGTGATGCACTGGGGAAGACTGAACCGCAGTTTTCTTATGACTTTAGGCCCCAGATCTTGCAACCACCCCACAACAGCAGATTGGTGCCAGCAGCACAAAACGCCTTTTCCAGCCTGCTCGTGACGTGTACCCTCTGCTGCACCAGATTTCGGCCAGGGGGCAGACAGAATTCACCATTTCTAACCTGTAACGCCTCGCTGGCCGCCTGCGACGGTTTGCTGGTAATTGTGAGGTCTGTGCTGCACCTGCCCGCTCACAACCCTTCGGGTCCAGTCGCTGCAAACCACCCTGCCTTCTGCCCTGAGGATGCGTGATGGAAGCACAGCTGGTTCTCGGCCGGGCTTGCTGAGCAAAGGACAACCTACTGCCACCTTGAAGCATTTTCTACAGTGTGTGCCATGAACTTTCCAGCTAAAACGCAACGTACCATAGGACCACAGAACAGTTTGGGTTAGAAGGGGCCTCGGGAGGTCATCTAGTCCAGCCTCAAGCTCAGAGCAGGGTCAGCTCTGGAGTCAGCCCAGGTTTCAAGGGCCACTCTCGCATTCAAAGCGCGCTGTCCTTTATTTCTTCAGCAGAGGCAGAGAGCTCTGTTGAGCAGATGTCACAAGCCTAGCCTTAGCTTGACAAGTGGGTTACTGGTGTAAGAACAAGTTATTCCTGGAAGCGTCACCGATTTCCATGAATGAATGATTTGTGTTCATTTACTGAGGCTCTAAAAAAACAGCTTCCCTGCAACACAGAGACCTTTATATCATCACCCACAGCCACTGATTTTAAAAGTGCGTTTTCAGCCTCCACTGGCAACTCCAAAGGAAGTAAGAGAACTGGATTAGATCACATTTTCAAGGCCTCAGAACCACTTATTCCCTCAAAACATCACCTGCCAAATATGCAAAAAAAACCCCCCACAACCCCAAATCCTATGCTTGGGAAAGTTTCTCAAGTGTTTTGACAAGAGAAAAATGGTGCGATGGTGGAAGCTAGAGAAGGATTAAAGAGCTGGATGTTGTGTTTGCTGTGACACAACCGATACGTCTGCCTCAATACACCAGGGACTAGCTGAAGGGGAAACACAATGCAGTCCAATGAAGAAGATGGGGAGACAACATCAAGGAGATATCTTCTTGACAACAGAAGCCAGGCAAAGCCTCCATGGAGCCCAAAGAGTCAAGTACCAGATCAGTACCACCAAGTACCAGAGAAAAGGGCTCCCTCTCCAGTAAAAATTTCATGCC